ATAGCTATTTTTTGATTTTCGTAACTTTTTCATTTCGAATTCCATAGCAGAACTTGTTTTCGATGTTCTCTTTGTTTTTATTTTTGCATTCCTCTCTTGAAAGCTTTGATTTAAACCTTTCACTTTCCGTTAAATCGGGATTTATATAGACATTTTCATATTCTTTCGAGTCTCGTAAATCTTTGGCTTTTTTTAGGATAGAATTCCTTTCTCTTTTATCTTTCAGTATAACAACAAATAGGGCTTGATTATTGGTGTTTCTTGGTTTTAGTTTCATAAAATTTTGAACATTAACGGTTACTTGCAATTTTTTAAAAACATTAATTATAGCTCGTCTATTTTCTTCTTTCTCTTTACTCTTTTCTTCGTTTTCCGATGGTTTAATTCCGAAAATAATGACATTGTTCTCTCTTCTTTCTCGTTCTTTTGTGTCAATAGTAACGTAGTTTATTATAAGCAATTGTTCCGGTGACTTATTTACCATGTTTGCCTACGTTACATTGTTATTTATATGACTGGTGCTTGGTTTGTTCATTTCTAAATCATCTATTCTTTTTGTTAAATTCATATTATCAGTTATTAATTTTTCAATTTGTAGCTTCAGATCTCCAATAATTTGTTCCTGTTGAGCCTTGTAGGCATTAAACTCTTGAGCATTTACCACTTTCTTGAAAAATTTAATATTATCTTCAAACTCTGTTGTTTTTTCGTTAATAACAACCACGTATATATAATATTTTGTTAAAAAAAAAAAAAAAAATTCAAAAACCTTTTTATGTTTCATTCCATTTCAAAAACTTTTTTTTATGTTTCTATGGAAGAAAATAAACTTTTGTAAAAAATAATAAGAGAAAACATTTTTCTGAAGATTTAATTTAGCTATGTAACAACCCCCCCCCCCTCCTCCGTCATCCTCTTACTATCTAGTGACGCCTCTGGTAACTACGAATCTTCTAAACTAAAACTTAAAAAAATTAACTTTTACAATTCATGATTTGTTAAAAAATCTTTTTTTATTATGAAATGACTAAAAAGACATTTTTATATAAAATATTTTTTTAGTTATTTCGCTAATTACTATATAATTATAAAATAATTAAACCAACAAGAGAAATTATATGAAATATATCCGCATCTATAATAAACTTTTAACTTTTCAACAACTCATCATCATCACAACTCGGTGTAGTTAAGGCAGTTTTAAAATATTACGGTGTCTGTATAATACTCTGTTGACCACAGCATATTTCCATTAAGTGATCAGATCTCTGAATTATGACAAAAAAATAAATTTAAATTATAGATATTTTTAATTTTTACCGTAACATAAAATAAAAGTTTGTGGCGAAAAACCTAGACCGGAGATTTTTAATCTCCTAAAAATCATGGTTGTTTAGATTTGAATACGACTTTAAATACATGAGTTGTTTAGGTAATAAACATCATAATCTGTTATGATCTGTTATGTTTATTGGCAGTTTTTTCCTTTTTCTTGGTTATAGTGGGCTAACGCACTTTTTTAAAAGATTTTTACTAATATCAAGTTAACGCTGTTAAGCAAAATTGATCTAAAGACTCAAAAATGGTGTTTTTTAAGTTTATTATTAGGTGTAAAAAGGTTTTGAAAATTATACAAAAAAAACAAAAGTTTCTTTAAACATTACAAAAACTTAAAGCAAAAAGTTATAACATCTAAAGCTCCTGTTAGGACATAATACGCTGATAAAATCATGCTAATTTGAAACAAAAAAAAATTCAAATAATTTGAAATTTCCCTTAGCTTTACCGAGTAGAACAACAACAACAAAATTTAATTCTCAAAATTTTTTATTTTTGTGACTTAGCACCTTTTGCAGATGGGCTCCTCAAATTTTTCGTCAAATTGATAGATACTTTCATTCCCTTATAGTAAAAACTGTTTTGGGTATAATTTGATCTAACCTTTCATAAATCTAACATAATTATTATTTTATGTTGCCTTAAAACATTATTATTATTATCACTATTTCATATTACCTTAAAACAATCGACTTGCGAAAACAAATTTTAAAAAGTGATACATGTATTTTTAGTTAAAAATGCTTCATCTAGATTACACGCCCTTTTTTTGATCATTAATCAGATTGATTTAGTTTAAATATCTTTTTCATTAAATTTTCATTACTTGATGATGTATAAGCTCAACTCCCTAAGGATTTTTTTGAATTTAAGTTTTAGAAAGATTGAGGTCCGATACAGCACAGTAAGGTATACGTAGTAATATTATGGATGAGTAGACATTAAAAAATGATTTCGAAGTTAAATGTGTTATTTATTATCTCTTATACAAGAAAAAGTCATTAAGTATGGTTTGTTAAAACTCAAAGAGTTATAAACAATTCTAGGATGATTATAATGCGCTGTAGAATTCTTTGAATTATGTATATGAGTTTAATCTAAGTTTGTTTACTTTGTTTGAAGTTTCAAGTTTTTAAATCTTTATTTAATTTTATCGTAATTATTATTATGTAAACATTTTTAGCAGTCTAAATGACAGAGTCATCTGCAAACATTATTACTTGAGAATGTTTTAGGCATGATGATAAGTATTTATAGAAAACAAAGAACAAAAAATGGCCAAGGATAAATTTTTGTGGCACCCCAAATTAAATTTACGGTTTACCTGATAATTTTCCATTTTTTTGTTTACTGTTAAGTAGATAAGACTGAAACCATTCCAGATAATTTACTTTTACCTCTTATGCATAAGGTTTTTAAATAATTTTATGGTGACCTATGGTGTCAAATATTTGACAAATAATAATAGCGCAAGATAATATCTCTTTCCACAGACATCGAGATTGCGACCGCGTAACTGTTGTTATCCAACTCAAAGTGACAGACATTTTGCGACAATACTTCGAGTGTGATGGCTCAGAGGTTATAAATCTTTTTACAATCTGTATACAAGTAAAATGATCCAGAATGATATATGCAGGTGAACTGGTTCGCAAAGAAATTGTAAAAAGAATTCACTAAGTGAAATTTTGCTCTATAATCATCGATGAAACGCCTGACCTTTCTGTTCGTGAACAAATTACCCTGGCAGCAAGATACGTATGGAACAACATGATAAGAGAAGATGTTGCTTGTATTTGCAATGTTATGCAAGAACAAATTTATAAGTTTAAAATGAAATTAAAATGTCTGCTGAAAACATTTAGTGTGTTATGCTAACTAATTAAAAGATCATCAAAATATGGTTCTTACGATGGTGCTGTACGGGCATTTGCTTTTAAAAATTACGTTCTAAATGTCTTTTAAACGTGTTTTAAACGTCTTTTAAACATTTTTAACGTAAGAATGTTTAAAAGACATTAAAAATACATTTAGAATGTAACTTTTAAAAACAAATGCCCACTGTGATAAGCAGCAAATAATTGATAAAAAAAATAAATAAATGATAAATTCACTTGCCAAATATGTTTTTATAAAACTTTAAAAAACAGACACGGCAACCCCCCCTACCTTTCCCTTTAAAATCTCTTCGGGACGGCCCTGTCCATAGTAAATACCGTTTAGATTCATTCGTCAAAGTCCAAAATAACACGTAGTTGGACGTCCAATTGACGTTTAAATACGTACCATTTAGGACTTGGACAATTTTGGATATCCAAGTCCAAATTAGTGCGTTCTTGGACGTCAATAGAACTTACTTTTAAGCATGCGTCAATTTAAAATATTTTCAAAATGGTTAAAAAAATATAATTTGAAAGTTGTTGATTTTTCGACTTATTCTATAACTATAACTATTTAGCTATAGTTGTCGAATATTAACTATAGTTATCGAATATATATATATATATATATATATATATATATATATATATATATATATATATATATATATATATATATATATATATAAAGGAGTTAATTTTTTTGGCCAAAGTGCATGACCTTGCACTTCTTTGCATTTAGATCCATGAGCCAAGACTTGGTTTAATAAACAATTTGGTCTATATCTGATTGGAGTTAAAGTTATGCAGCAAATGAAAATGCTCAGAATTTTAGTGTCATCAGTGTAGATCTTACAACAATTTTTTTTGCTTACTACACCCGGCAGATCGTTGATGAAAATGACAAATAAAATTGGAACCAAAACTGATCCATGCGGAGCCCCACTTGTCACAGGTAACCAATTTGAGTGTCACCAAGGATGACTCGTTGAAACCTGTTAAGTAAAAAAGCTTTTATCTAGTTCAGAAGATTAGCTTCGATTCCGTAGATTTTTGGTATGTGGGGCATTTGTTGATGTGGCACAAAATTCAAGAATATGACGACAACTGATAGTTTTCTGGCCATATTTCCAGTTAAGAATTAATAAAATTAATAATTAATAAATAAAATTAAAATAAACTTCACTTTTAGTCTCGTTTATTTTATATACTATGTGATTCACAAGGTATATGAAATAAACGAGATTCACAACTATGAATTATACTCCAAATCGATTTAACACTAAAACTTCTTGTTTTATTAGTGGTGTTTTTTACGATTAGATTACTATTTATTGTTTAAGTTAGTACTAACATTCCATGAACTTTTATCAATATTCAAAAATTAACAAATTTGGGGTTTTAAATTGTTAATTTTTACCTAAACCTCACAATTTCGATAAAATTTAGAAGATGAAAGCTTTTTTTCACGTTAATGGTAAAGTTTTTTAACGTTAATGGTGAAGTTATTTAACGTTTATTTAAATAGTGAAGTTATTAAGATTGTGGAAACAAAAAGCGCCAAGTGTTTTTAACGATTCACAGTCCTATTTTTTTATATAATCACATAAAAAAATATCGCATTAGTAATTAGTCAGTAATTGAAAATTTCGGGGAGTCTATCTTTTTCTAACATTCACAAGATATAAATTTGATACGGTCAACATAATTAAAAAAAAAAAATCAAAATAACGTTATCACTCATCTTCGATATAAATAAAAAAGTCAATGAAAAACCCTTACCATTGACAAGAAGTTCATCTTCAATAAAGTTAACTAGCTCTTCAAAAGTTATATGATGATTACCAGCTTTAAATAAAACTAATGACTCTGTATTATAATCCAATTGTAAAATATTACTTATGTTAGCACACAATATATGTAATTTCGTTTTAGCCAGAGCATTAAAATCTTGCATTTCTAAAACCCGTAAAGTGTGTTTCAAACCATTACGAGTATAATAAGGCAACGTTCTTTTAGGAGATAATACCAGACTGGTCTTGGAGTAATCTAATTTATTATTTTCTTCTTTCTCTTGCAAAAAAGTTAAAGGGCTCTCTTGATTCATGATAGAGCAGTATTTCTAATGAATCAAATTACAAAAATAAAATAATAAAACTAAAATTTACTAATAGAGCATAATATTGTATACGGTTTAAAAGTTTATAGTTGTTTGAATAATCCAATACAAAAACAAATCACATTTCCCGAAGCGTACAACGTCATTTTGTAAACAAGTAACAGCAACAGAGCTATAATAAATTTCAAGGTTTATTAATAAAAAAAGTATCATTGAAAACGTCTTAACATTTTTTAGATGTTTAAAAGGATTTACATTTTGTTGTTTGTTTTAAATGATGTCGTCACGACGTAGTTTAACGTGAATAATTAAAACAATCTTTAAGAACAATCTCTCGCTCCTCGATGTTTTGCTTTTATCGAGAAAGTGTTCTATAATTGCATATATGTGTATAAAAAAAGCTTTAAATGTATGGTATTTTACAATATATATTTTTTTATTAAACACTTCGATCAATACAAAGTGATAAAAAAGTTGATTTTTAAAATTTAAATATTTTTGTTTTTTCGATTTAAAACGCGTTAGTGTGAGTAGTGCGGAATAAAAAATCAAAAACGGAGATAATTAATGAGTAGAATGGAATTTTTTTAAAGTTAATTTAACTAAATAGTAATTTAATCCGAAATCGCTAAACACATTTTTTGTTTGTTTGAAATAATAAAGCTAGCTTTAACTAGTTTATAAATAGATTAAATACTTACTGGTACAGTTTAATTAAACTTGACTTTCAAATAAGTTTTAATTAAAACAATCCTATTTCAACCGATTAATTAATATAGTAAATTAAGTATATATAAGTTATAGAGTTTAAATAATTGAAAGTAGTTTTGCGCTTTTGGGATTTGTACGCGACTCTGTAGGCGTATAATAGAAAATTTAATGTGTTTTGTGTTTTGGGCTTTGTACACGACTGTGTAAGCGTATAATAGAAAATTTAAGCAAATTAAATTCTATCAAAGTTATGAATTAATTTACTGAATTATATCTAAAAAACTTAATGAATTAAATGCTTGTAATAAACGTAACTATGACATACCAATTCAAATGAGTTAATTCTTAAAAGTTTTTTCAGTTGCAATTAGAGAAGAAAAAATTGTATTTCGAAATATTTTTCGACTTTATCAATAAAATTACGCACTTTTTATTCCCACACAAGTTATAAATAACGCTTTGCGCCTAATTTTAGTAAAATTGTGTTCATAAAAAAGTAATTTAAAAAACTATATAAAGTTGTGAATGATAAGTAAAGATATAACACCTTTAATGATAATTTGAAAAAATTGTTTTTTTTCTGCATAGCATTGGGGGGAAAATCTGCATAGCATTGGGGCTCCAATTTTATGAAAAACCAAACTGGAGCATAAACTCGAAAAATGTAATCAGTAAGGATGACAAGCTACTTACACGGAAAAGTGCTTGCAACATACAAACGAAATATACGATTTGCTGTTGTCAGCCATCGAGAATGAACTAATGGACACGACTCTTTTTTTTCCAGGCTCTTTGTCACCTTACCTAATTCTATTCTGTTACAAATTTTATGAAGATACTGTTGATCTTTGCTAATGTTATTTGTCACAACCTCATTTAAAGCATTTCGAAAATTATTTCAAATTGGTTCAAATTCAACAATTAACAATTTATTACACTTTGCGAGTGATTTCCCAATGTTGCCACTCAACGCAATAGGTCCAGAAGTGGTGCCATCAAAATGGAACACTAAATGCCTCAACGGTAGTTCATTAAAATGAAACATACAAACTAACTATTGAACTGGATGTCCTAATTGCAGTTCCAGTAATCTTATTCTACCTTTGTTCACGTCATTATTTACAATATTTTCTTTGATATTTGCTGATGATCCACTTAATCAAGATCAATGATCAAGAAGAAACGTAACCAAGAAAAATGGATCGAGGCTCTTCTATTAGAGTAATATGTTCCTTAGTGATTAATGTTTTACTGCTAGTCGTTAATTCACTAAAAGTTTTATCTTTTCGGGTATCAAAGAAAATTGATTTTGGGCCTACTGAACACATAGCTAATTTTGCTTCTTGTGATAAGATTCCTATAAAAAACTGTTTTTGGCTCCTTAACTTGCAACGGTCTATGATAGCTTCTCTTTCATTTTTCTTTATAATTCCATAATTTGAAAGTGCAGCAGTAGCAATAGCAGCATCATATACACCATATCTGTTATATTTTATGGATACTATTTGAAAAGTGATCATATTTCTACCAGATTCACCAGCTATTTCACTAAATTCTGATAAATCAACATTGCTCTGTGTCATTTACAACCACCTTGTCACCAGACACAATATCTGCATCTATATTCAAACTGATACAAACTGATGCTTTTATAGTACTTTTGCTATGTGAAAAAAAATTTCTTTTTGTGGTTCTCTCAAATGCTTTATTTAATTTAAAAGTAGTTTCCTTATCCAAAGAACTAAAAACCATATTTCTTTGATTTCTTCGATTCAGTAAAAATTCATTCTCAAGCACTGACACCCTTGATTTTCTCGGGCATGTGCAGTTATTTAGATTAAGACAGTAACATACTGCAATGTCAAACAATACTAAACTTTCCTGCTTAGCGTTGGATACTGCTGAAGTCTTCACTTCACCTTTTTGTTTAAGAATCTTTTTCAAAATCTTGCGCAAAGATTCTACTTTTTGCTGCACTCGTCTTATTGTTACAGTAGGAATACCAGATTTCAACTAAATGTCTGTAACGTTTGAAGAAACTTGAGAAACTATTATGCCTTTGTAGTTCTAGGAAGTTTAAATTGAAGAAAAGAATAGTGCTGCATAACTTCCTTAACAGTTGGAAGTTTGCGATAAGTTAGTTCACATTCTATTCCATAAACGGACAAGTGTGCTCGCTCTAGTAGTAGCCATATTTTGCAGTCTTGATAGCAATATTATTTAATTTGTAAATGTAAATAAATTTCAATAAGCACAATTTTGAAACAGAATACTAGAAATATATTTGAATTTAATAAATTATACAAGTTGTTTTGAAAATTTCATTTACTTTATCCTAATAATATACTAAGCTTCCTATGTTTTCTTATAAAACAAACATTTAAAATAATTAAAAAAAAAATATTGTTAAAATCATTGCAGAAAAAATACAACAAAATAATTTATTATTTGCATCTTTTCTTTGTTACATACATGATGGTTTGAAAGCACTTTATAATTACTAAGGAGTTATAAAGTGTTTTCTAACTACCATCATTTTCATTCATTAAGCTATTGTTTGCAGAATGAAAAGTCAAAAAATGGTTTTTAAATCTACTCAAGAAGTTATAAAATAATTATTTTTAGGCTTTTTATGGGTATTTGAATAACAATAAAAAAACCCTTAAAAATGCACAATTAGGAAACCAATTGGCAACTATAGCCATAATTTTTTTTTTCTTTTCTAACTTATACCATCTAGTGATGACAACTTTTAGATCAACATATATCACCAAAGAATTTCCAATAAAAATCAGCTTAAACCAGTATATCAACACTGGACCATCTACAACTATATCAGCTTATGCTAGACCCTTTAAATGATTATTATTTCTAACAGCATAATCAATATTTTGGCCATTAAAGGGGGCACATATGTCTTTGACAAAACAAGAAATTGAAAAAAAACAACCATTAGCACACTTAACAGTAAATCGAAACCTTTCTAGTACCTCTGTTTCACTCTGATTTCCAAATGTATTAATAATGATTCTCTTTGAGTCTAACGTTTTTAAATCAAGTTTACTTCGCAATGATGGTGACATGTAACTAAGTTGTGAGCAGCTATCGAACAATATTCGTGCAAGTTGATTGATATTATTAGCAGTTACATTGGGTCTGGCTGTTTGCAATTAGACTGAGTTATTACACTTTCATAATGAAGCTAATGAAGATGAACAATTTTCATGTATATCTATTTTCTTATTTGCTATTTTATTTATGCACATTGCAGCATGATGAAAATTGGAACCGTAGAAACACTTCATTTTCGTATTGCAATCTTTTGAGAGATGTCCAATCATTAGACATTTAAAACATCTCCTTTTATTCTTTAAGATTCGTTTTTTGTCCTCTAGACTTAAAATTGTTATACATTTTTGAGATTTGTGATTTTTATTACAAAAAATACATTTTAAATAGTCATTAAAATTATTAAACTTGTTTTGTGGTTTCATATTTCTACTCGAATATAATGCTTCTGCAGTAAAATGCTGAGCTTCATCTAAGTTGACTTCCTTTACGAGCTTGAATTTACTTTTTCAAAATGCTCAAAACAGTTTTCATACTCCAGCAATCAGCAACATTAACAAATTCTCTTGATATAAGTAAAGCGAGATCTTCAGGAACTTTTTGCATTAGTACAGGTATTAGAAGAGGTCCATATTGCCTAGAATCTACTCCTAAATTTTCTAAACTTCTGACCTGGATTTCAATTTTGTCATAAATTGTACAAAGAGTTACTATATTTTTAATGTTATAAACATTTTCGATCGACAAAAATGTTCCCATATGAGAGGATATAACCAATTGTTTATTTTCATACTTTTCTTTTAATAAATTGATTGCAATATTGTAATTATCATTTGTAAAAGCAAGTCCTGTTATAGTTGAAAGTGCTTGTCCTTTTAAAAGATTTCTTAGATACGTTAATTTTTGAATTGGACTTAGGCCATCATTACTATCTATAGAACATGTAAAATTTTCATAAAACGTTTGCCATAGTTCAGGTCTACCATCAAATGATTGCAATTTTAAAGATGGGAGTTTTACCATTATATTATTTTTATAAGAGCTTTTTACTAAACTATCTGAACTAGACTTATTGTTAACAAACTTATTAATTTCAGATAACTTGACACGATAAAAGATTATAAAGTCAGTACTACTATCTTCTTGTTCTTGAAGTTTTTCCTTCTTCATCAATCAAATCAATAATTTCTTCATTTAAATGTTAAATCTTATTAAATTTGGCAACCAGAGTGTCACGAAGACCAGTCAGGGTTTCAATTGAGCACGTATAAAACTAATACACGCGATAGGCCTTGAGCGCTATCGCAACATTAGATATTTACATATAATAATTGATTGGTTACTTTTTTATTAGCATAATAATTTTTTAACTGATATTATTTATTATTTAATTTTCATATTTTTATTAAAGTTTAAATTTATAGATTTTTACAGGTTTTTTTATGTATTAAATTTTCGAATACTCGAATGTGGTCACTCCATGTGTGGAAAGAACACTCTCGAGTAATTTAAGATGTTGTTCCTCATAGTTTGGAATGAAGCAGGTGTATTGGTTGGCCACCAAGAGGATTTTCATGGAAAAATACAATTAGCAAAAATATTCTTTACTCAAGTGATATTTGGCTATCTTTTCCAATTTTAAAAATAAAATAAACACATGGTCAGTTACTTATACTTGCTATTTAAATATTTATTAATTAAAACATAGGATATGTTATGATATTACATCGAAATATATTATTTATCTGCTGCTTTTAATGACTGTTAAATGACTTTCTTTTCTTGTTTTTGTTTTGTTTTTGTTTTTAATGACTGTTCTACTTTTTTTCTATTTGTCATGATTAAAAGAAAAGTGAACTTTAACGTTGAATTTTCATACTGTTGTTTATTTTCAGGGGTTAAAATAATAAAATATTGGTTATCACATTTCAAATGATGTATCTATGACAGCGCTAAAATTTATTTAAGGCTATTGTTGTTTTGTTGATTAAAATTTTTTTTTCAATGAGGTATACTGTTTTCTGATTATCTTTGGCTTGTTTATGTTAAAAATACCTATTTGGTTTTATATCTTAAAGTAAATTTATTAATATTTTTATGTTTCTATTAGAATTTAATTTATTGTGTTTTCATGTTTTCTTTCGGTGGTATGGTAAGTGATTTATTTATGTACTTTTATTTATATTGTACAGTAGATCTACACTTTTTACATCATATCATTAAAATAATATTATTGTTTTACAAATTTGTGTATGGTTGGGTTTTTTCTATTTGTAGTAAGTTCTTTTTTACTGCAGTATGGATAAGGCGTAAGTAGTGGGGTAAACCATAAGTGGCGATGACGTTTGTCTGACGGGATAAACTAGTTGTAAATGCTGATGCTCATCGAAACTCCAGTAATAATAGACGCGACTCTGAGGAGATGTTTATTACTTAATCACTACACAAATTATGTTTACACATTATCATTAATGTTTTTTATTTTTATTCCATTCTGAGACCATTGTTGTTAGCATACTTTTTATTTTGTAATCAAAATTTTTGTTTTATAAGTTTTTTGTTTGGTGATATATTTGTTGTATATCTTCGTCCATGTTAATGTTTATAAAATAATTTGTTTTTCAATTATTGTTATTATTATTATTAAGTACTTTTTTAGGTGAATTGTCTGTCTTATCTATTTTTTAGGTGCATTGTCTGTCTTATCTATTTTTTAGGTGCATTGTCTGTCTTATCTATTTTTTAGGTGCATTGTCTGTCTTATCTATTTTTTAGGTGCATTGTCTGTCTTATCTATTTTTTAGGTGCATTGTCTGTCTTATCTAATTTTTAGGTGCATTGTCTGTCTTATCTATTTTTTAGGTGCATTGTCTGTCTTTATTTATCTTTTTTTATGTCTTGAAACTGTCAAAATTTTTGCTTTGTTCGAAAAATGATTCTCTTTTATTCTAATGTACTTCATTTCTTTCCTCAGGCGTTCACTGCTCGTGTGTAACCAATCGATGAATTTTATATGCCAATGTTTTAAATACATTTAATATTTGTATTAATTCATTAGTCTAAAAACATTATGTAGCTGATAAAACTGAGTGTATGACGTGTGAGTATACAACTCAGGACTAAGGAATAAAAGAGAAAGCAATGGGTATCAATGAGATAAAGTGTCAACAAGTTGGATTTATCGGTGTTTCATGATGTTACAAATTCAAAGCGCTTTGGAAATAATAATACTTCACACCAAAAGCGAAGAACCCATTTAATAAAAGATTGCGATGATTGCGACGATTCAACATTGGAATTACAAATTATCAGAAAGGTTTCAAAATAAAAAATCATAAATGGTAATTATTCAATTATTTATTTACGTTAAATAAAAGTTTTGTAAAACTCACACGTGGCGTTATTCGTTATATAGTAGTGGTACATATAAGGGTTGTAAAAATGTTAAAAATCAGAGAAAAGTCAAATAGTTTTTTTTTAGGTCATTGAAAATTTATGGAGTTTAAATTATTTTCAGAATAAACCGAAGAAAACTTTCAACTTTTGATTTTATTTTTGATTGTCAGCAAACATCCCATCTGTGATTAACATCAAAATCCGAGCAATTCCCAAAAATTCCGAGCAAATCCAAAATTCCCAGCAAATATCCCACATGTGATAAATCTGGAAAAAATCAGAGAACCATAAGAGATAAATTAACACAGTAGCATTATGCGAAGGTAAAGTCTACAATTCCTACATCTCTAGTATTGCGCAATTGAAATTCGGAAAACTAAACTTATGTTCGAAATTTTCTGCAAAGATTTAAAAACTTTAAAAATTTTTTTTTAACTTAAAATTCAAGTTTAACATATCCTATATCAAATCCAATTAAGTTTGCGTTATTCAATTATTCAAAGTTTGTAAATATCAATTGAATTAGAAAGGCAATTTATTTTATATTACTTTAAATTTATTTATTGCGAGTTTAAATTTATATATTGAGTTTAAATTTACTTTTTCTATGAACAGAACCTACTACATCTCTTTCCATACAGACACCAAATAAATTTAAATGATCCTCAATATTTGTATTAAACTTTCAACTGGACAGAAACCATAAATCCTAATAAGTCCAGTTTTGTAGGTTTTCTTACATTCGCTATCATGCAGGTTGACACTAATGTACATTATGTACCTTAAAGAGGTGTGTTATTTATGCGTTGAGCTGAATTTATGTCCTGTATAAATTATTTCAATAATTTCTTGTTTAATCACTTTCTTTTTTTCAGAAAAATCTTGATGGATTAAGTTCATCACTGTTGTTGGACTTTTAGGAAGATGATTTTCTTTTTGATGAATCGATGACCGAACAAATTTTATCGCATTAACCAATAAAATTTATAATTGTGTAAGTTATCGAATCAAAACACCTTCTGTAGCTATATCAGCCACAATTTCTTTAAAGCTCGTTTTTTGTAAATTACTGTCTATGGCATTATTTTTTCCGGTGGTAGATTTGAGCTGCAGTTTTATTCTACAGTCGAAGGACTATTGATAGCAATTTCATGACGTGAAGTACGATAACGTTTTGTGCTAATTGGGGTGTAAGATATTTTGGGAGTTATGTAATTCAAATAAAATTTTGTTAAATATATTTAAATAGTTTTTCTATTAGAAAATACTAATTAACATAATAATTAGTTTTAAAAAATTTGTTTGAAACCGTGATAATTTTCTTTAAATTTTTTCAGGGAATTTTAATTCAACCCTCTTTTGAATATATATGCTATAAACGCGTTTTGTGGCGTTCTGTGCACACAACAAGCTAAGAGCAACAACATCGATCAAGTAATTTGGAGATGTCCAGATGTTTAAGCAATTTGGAGATGCCAGTGAAACGTTGTAAAGGATCTTTTAGCATACGAAAAGGCAGATTCTTCGAGAAAGCCTATTTACACTTGTGGCAGGTATTAGACTTGACATACGTTTGGAATTGAGACGCAGGCAAAAGTTGAGGATTTTCGATAAGCAATCTTAGGCAAGAGCTTAATCTTGCATGTGATCACACTATTGTTGATTGGAATCAATTTTTGATTCCAATCAACAATACTGTGATCACATGCGACGCAGGGATATTTGCGTCGAGTATTTCCTCAATAACCTTGACCCAATAGGCAATCCTGGGTGCATTATTTAAATAGATGAATCTGTTTTTTGTAAAAAAAAGAACCACGTTGGTCGCATAAATCCGGAACAGTAGATATTTGGTGGCTATGAAACTACGGCTAAAAAAGGATTTTTAAATCCAGTGGAAAATTGCGACGCAGCAACATTGAATTCAAATATACATGAGTAAATTCTGTCTGTCTCTACTATCTGGAGTGATGTGTGGGCAGTTATATAATGATTTGCATGGACCTTTATGTCAACACAGGACAGTTAATCACACCTACAATTTTTAACACAGTTAATCACACCTACAACAGCACAGTTAATCAACCAACAACAAATCAAGTGGAAGCTATGTGGTGTCACAGCAAAATTCAAATCAATGATGGGTTCGACTAATCGCGAAATATTAATAGTTTGTTTATCAGAATTTACGTGGACGCAAAGATTCAACAAACGTCGTTTTTATCATTTTCGCGACCAGGTTGTAACAGCATACCCAGTGTGACCAAAGTAGTGCTTACTGTGTGCATAGGAAACATCATTTTAATTTATACCCTAGGATCATCGTAAACCAAAAACGGCTATTTTCGTAGCCACAAAAAATTATTTAAAACATTTTTTGCAGAGAAACATTATGGAAGTATGTTCATTAATGAAATTTGAAAAGAACATTCTGAATGTTTGTATGTTTCATTAATAAATTTGAAATGAAAATACTAAAGTATGTTCATTAATAAAATTAATATATTAAAATCTCTGTGTTTTTTTTCCAGAAGAGATTTATTTCAGGAAAAAAAACGTTTTTATTTTGATGTATTAATACTTTATGTTATATGGCCCCAAGAGAAATTAGTGAGTTGTTTTTAGCAATACAGTCAAGTGATAACATTGTAGAGAACTATCTAATAAATGTATAGGAAATTTGTTCCCACCCAAGAGATGTCATCATCAATGGGTTTTCGCAATTTAAAGAGACGGAAGTTTTCAAATTAAAAGTGGAATTATTTACTGAATTATTGGAACATTTTGATATGGAACAGTTTTCGTTGCTAAACATTATTCTAGACGCAGAAGACCCAATAAAGAAAAATCTTAGAAAGCGGTATAAAATCGTAACGTTTCTTGATGATATTTATATTATGTCGATTACTTTAGCGGAAAACCAACTTCATAAGGACTTTAATAAATTGCTTTCTAGATCCAAGGAGGTTATTCCACAAATTTCTCAATCATCAGATATAAATATGTCAATCACTTTGAAAGAAATTATCGATCGCTTAAAGGTATTAAAATCGGAAAATAAAAAAATCATGGCAGAGTACAACCGTTCCTTCAAAGTGAAAATCAAAAAGAACGACAAAGAAATGGTACTCAAACCTGATGTATGGGATAATAACATTATTAAACCGTTTAAAATGCATTGAGAAACACTCAAAAAACAACATCAAAATATCGAAATTTGCCGCAATTCTTAAATCACTCTAGAGAATTCTTGCGACAGTCTAATTCACAATAGAAGAAAAAGAGTTAAATTTAAAGAAAGAAAAACTTCCAACAACATTCAATTTAAACACTTTTATTGTAATGCACTCAAGCCAAATCTTGATTATGAAAATTCTATTATAACTACTCATTATATAACTTTTGTATGCGAGCATTGGCTATCGAAGCTTGAATACTCAATAATAACAAATATATATGAAAATTCTCACTATTTATTTTCACCAAGCAAATAAACACGCACATGGACGACCATTTGGCGGAAATGCATTCTTTGTGCGAAGAGAATTATTTCAAAATATTACAATTATCTACGAGGATGACCATATATTTTGAATAAAATTAACCAAAAATCATACCAGCATAACTATCAATGATATTTACCTATCTTCATCCCGTAACAATAAAATATCGCTGGAAGAATACAAAAGTCAGCTGGACATAATATATGGAGTTATAATAAGCTATGAAAATTATGGTGAAATTATTGTGCTTGGTGACTTCCAACCGTTTCCAAACGGAATATACGACCTATGAGAAAGATCAAGTCCTAAGAAAAACAATTACTCGGTGGTTTTATCGGACTTTATAAAAATAAATAATCTAGACTTAGACGATGTAATAAAGGCTCTGGTCTCACATATACATATCAACATCATACCTTACGAAACTTTTCTTACAAAGACCACAATGCTCTCTTAAAAAATAGATCTCGTATTTATTACTAATGAAGTGTTAATCCTCCCTTGTTTAAAATATGGGCAATGACTTACCAATATCAATCTCTATTAAACTTACCTGTTGCAATTCTCCAGAAAATATTGACAAGATAACAGGAGAAAAAGTTATATTCCAAGTTATGCCAAGGGTAACAATATTTTTTAAGACTATATATAAAGAACAGCTAAATGCTGGTTTTAATAACCTGAACCTCACAACTGGCAGTTATGAAAAGGAATTATTATGAAAAATTTATGAAATTATTATCAATAGTGCAATTGCAGCTCATTGCAAATACCTCAACGAGGAAAAATAATCTGTTTATTCCAAACCCTCATGGACTCCTAATTTAGGTCGAAATAAAAAGGTTTTGTCGTATCATTTTTAAAAATGGAGAGATACCGGGTTTTCAAAATGTTCTAAGCCTATGACTTATAATATGTATAAAATAGCTCAAAAAAACTTCCGAAAAGCCGTTAAGTTAGCTCAAAACAATAAACTTTACAAGAAATACGTTGTAATCGAAAAGCTAAAAGATATCAAACCAAAAAACCTTTGGAATGCATTTAGAAGTATAAAAAAAGATACAAACTCATGATTATCTACAATAAACAATATAAAGGATAACGAAACTATCAACACAGAATTCACAAATATGTTTGAAAAGTTGTTAAACACTCCTCGAATAAACTAAAGCATTAAATTAGATAAATCCCACCGTACACAAAGCATAATAATGTAATAATAACCGGATAAAATATTAAAGTAGCTATTTCTGCCTTTAAAATCAAACAAGTCTAGCAACTTATTTGGTATATCAGCTGAACATTTGAAACATACAAATTGTAACACATTGACACAATGGTTACTTAATTTTTTTAAATTCTCAATCAATTATGGTTGGAATCCGAATGCAATGTCTTTATCTATCATTATACCGCTAGTTAAATCATATAAAAAGTTTTTAAATTTATATATATATATATATATATATATATATATATATATATATATATATATATATATATATATATATATATATATATATATATATATGTATATATATATATATATACATATATATATATATATATATATATATATATATATATATATATATATATACTATATATATATATATATATATATATATATATATATATATATATATATATATATATATATATATATATATATACATATATATATATATATATATATATATATATATATATATATATATATATATATATATATATATATATATATATATATATATATATATATATATATATATATATTTCTTGACAAATCCTTTGTTGTCGATCACAGGCTTGCATCTTCGAGGCATAGATTCAATCAGGTGATCAATGAAACTTTGTGGAATCGCTGCCCAGGCCTTTTGGATTTGTTCAAACATTTGATCTTTGTTACGAACACTTTTACGATTAATTCTGCGGTTTACGATCTCCCACAGGTTCTCGAAAGGGTTGATATCCGGAGATTGAGGCAGACAATCCATCACCGATAGGTGATTGTCTTAAAACCACTGCTTGACTACTTTTGCAGTGTGTTTCGGATCGTTGTCTTGCAGAAAAACCAATTTTATTAGCATATTCCATTCAGCATGAGGTAACTTTTTTCAGCATGAGGTAACTTTTTTCAGCATGAGGTAATCTTTCAGCATGAGGTAATCTTTCAGCATGAGGTAATCTTTCAACAATTCAGCATGAGGTAATCTTTCATGATATTTTTATACATGAAACGGTCCATTATTCTATCAAATTGATGTATTGGACCGAGACCGTTAGCAGAAAAATACCTCCAGACCATTAGATTGTTTCCACCATGCTTCACGGTCTTACGGCAGTATCGTAAATCGAGCTGTTTTCCGGCCGGTCGACGTACACGGCAAATGCTAGCGCTCTCAATGATGTTGAACTTCGATTCATCACTGAACAGGACAGTTTGCCATTTCTGCACATTCCAATCAATATGAGATGTTGCAAACAGGAGTCTTTTCTTCTGGTTCTTTAGTGAAATCAGCGGTTTCTTTGCAGGGCGTTGAAAAAACAATCCGGCTTCAACAGCACGTCGTCTGATTGTTCGGTCCGATACAGGCAGTTCTAATTGCTTTTGTATCTCAACTGATGATATCCAGGGATCCTTCTTGACGGATCTGAAGATCATAGAATCCTCTTTAGAAGTGGTAGAACGTGGTCTACCACCTTTGTTATCTGCTGCCAACTTCCCCGTAGAACAATATTTGGAACATGGTCTTGATACTGTCCATTTTTTTACGCAATATTTATCACAAATACTTTTTTGTGACATTCCACATACTTAACCACCAATAATTTTCTTTCTTAGTTTTAATCCAAGACTGTCGGGAGCCATTTTTGCACTTGAAGTCATAAAAGTAATAAAAATAAAAAATCACGCTTCTCAAGGCTTACCGTGTTACATTTACCTTGTGATGATACAATAATGCTCTGTGGAACACAACGTCTTGGTTAGATGTGGACTGTATTGATGTAATGAAATACTTGTTGTATTTCATTTCTTCTCATGTTTTTCGAAAAAACACTTTGATAAAACTCACTTCGAAAAAATGTCTTGATAATACTGACTGATTGACTTCCATATACTGACTGAATTACATGTCGGGTTACATGTCTCTTATATAGTAAAATGAACCTGTGTGAACCTTTTCTAAAGATTTTTTGATATTTTTGATGCTTCTGAAAGCTTCTGGATGCGTCTGGATGCTTCTTCTGGAAACATATGTAAGTTTCTGCATGCTTCTGGAAACTTCTGGAAACTTCTGGATACTTCCTGTAATTATTAAAAAAATTCCGTGACGTTGACACGGACCAGACTTAAAAAAATGAAACAAACCAAAAAAGTTGCACTTGTTGCACTGTCCGCTGCAAAATGGTACTTGTCAACAAAATTCTGCCAATGTGCTGTCACCTGTCAGCTGATTGTATATATATATATATATATATATATATATATATATATATATATATATATATATATATATATACACTCTTAAAAAAGTTCCGGTAAAATTTACACGAACTGTTTAGGCGATTTTTTACGCCTGAAACTTCAGGCGAAACAACTGAATGTTCGATCGATGCGTTCTGACGATGTCTTTTGCCTGAACAGTTCAGGATTAGTTTAGATCAACAGTTACAGTTAATATAAATTATTCCTGAACTTTAGACAAACTGCACGAACCTGTAAAAACCGGAACTTTTAATCTTAACTATTTGCTTTTTAAAAGAATGTGCTCGGTAATGTTAAAAAATTTAAACACTCATGAGTTGATTAATCATTTGATTTCAAAAGGAATTTCTGTGGAAACAACTGCTAAATTGTCAAGTAAGTATTTACTACATAAAAATTTAGTTTTAAACATTAATGCATAAAACCATAGATATATAAATTATATATCTATGCATAAAACAAACTTAACTAGTTGAAATAACTTTAAAAAATGTTATCTTTCATAAACTTACTGTTTAAAGGTGAAGATATTGACGGAGATGCATTTTTGCAAATGAACTCTGTTTTGTTTCATTGTATTGGAATAAAAATGGGTCAAGCTATAAAGCTTCAGTCTATCATTGCAGCAGAAAAGGTGAATTTAATATTATAATGTACTTTTTTTTTAGGATGTCAATGTGTTGTTACCTTTGCCCCAAAGATTTTTCAACTGTTGCTTTTTACATAAATCACTTGAGGAACTTTCATCTTTTGTTTGAGCCTTGTCAACTTCGTTGTAATGTTGATGGTTGTATAAGATTGTTTACTACATACAATATGCTTAGAAAACATATAAATAAAGATCATGCCAGTTTTGTAGTTAATATTGCTCGAACATTTAGCATAAGTTGTGAAAATCCAGTAACACCTACTTCTGAAGCTAAAAGTGAAATTAAAATAGACAAAGAATGTGAGATAAAAATTAATGACGTTGCCTCACCTATTGTTGATGAGTATGGTATATCACAAGCAGCATTAAAGTTTATTATGGCTTTAATGTCTTCGAGTTCTATTCCTCTAAGTACTTCAGAGTTTGTTAAGAGTTGTTCACAAAACCTAATTGAAGACATACTTAGTTATTTACTATGTAAAACAATTGCTATACTGAAAACATATAGGTGTGAGAAACATGTAATTGACAATTTAACAGAAGAGTTTAACAGATGGAAAACACCTTTTAGTAGAATTGATTCACAACATCGAATATTATCATATTTGAAAAATAAAGGCCTATATATTGAACCAGTACCACATTCAATGGGTGAACGATGGGATACAAAACGTGACAGAAAGACTAAAAGGCAAATGCAAGTCAAAGTAAAAGATTTGTTTTATTACATACCTATTGAAAGCACAATAAAGCTTGTGTTGCGACAGCCAGAAGCCGTGAAAATGTTAAAAGTGGAGCAAATATCTAATTTAGAATTTGTTGAAGATTGGTTTTGTAGTGAAAATGGAAAAAAATTAATGGCATATGCCAAATTTAAATTTCCGAAAAGTTTCCCTTTGTTTATTCAAATTTACTTCGATGAAGTAGAGACCACAAATCCTCTTGGATCAAAAACAGGCATTCATAAACTTGGTGCCTTTTATTTTGTGATAAAGAACTTTCCTCATGCGGCAAACTCAGCCTTGAACAACATTCATATGTTAGCATTAACTCACGCAATAGACATAAAGAAATATTCAGCAGAACCAGTGATAAAAGTGATTGTAAATGAATTGCAAAAACTTCATGACGAAGGATTTGATATTTTTATTGAAGGCAAAAAAACTAACTTTAGATGTTTACTAACCCAAATTGTTGGAGACAATTTAGGTCTGCACTCTATATTAGGATATATGGAAAATTTTAGTACTGTTTCTTTTCCATGTGACATGTGCATGATATCACAAGTTGACATACAGCATGTTTTTCAAAGAAGAAAAACAAGCTCTCAGAACAGACATTTTATACAACTCTCAAGTTCATCAGATGCAAAGAGGCAAAATTTCTAATAAGAACTGTGGAATTAAGCGGTTTACTTGTTTAACTGAATTGCCATATTATCATCCTGCTTCGAATGATTCTGCAGACATAATGCATGATATTTTTGAAGGAGTTATTCCGTGCGAAGTTAAATTGTTTCTTTACCATGTGTTGTATGATGTCAAATGTATCTCCATTACAGAACTGAATAGGCGAATCAAGTTTATGGATTATGGTATTGTCTGCAGCTCAAAACCTAGTACTATTAATGAGTCGCGTATGAAAAGTACTGACTCTTTACTAGGTCAACGCTCTGCTCAGATGCTTACACTGTTTATGTATTTGCCACTTATTTTGTCTGATGTTATTGATAAAGTAGATACACAAAAGTGGAAACTTTACCAAATCTTAAAGCAATTGTGTGATATAGTCTTATCTCCAAATTTAAATTGTTTACAAGTCACGTATATTGAGGAATTAGTAATGGAACATCATTCATTGATGAAAGAATGTTATCCTGAGAAAAAACTTCTTTATAAGCATCACCGAATGATTCATTATGGAACTATTATAAAACGAAGTGGGCCTCTTCTTCACATGATTGTTATAAGGTATGAAGCCAAGCATAATTTTTCAAAAAGATTAGCTCATATTGTTTGCAATTTTCAGAACATTTCTTATTCAGTTGCAAAAAGACATCAAATTGCTCATGCTTTAGCGTGGATGACTCATGGTCACCTAAAAATCATTACTGATGTAAAAAATAGTGCAATGTTTTTAGTTTCAGAATTAAAGAACAAAAGTCTTTTATTCCCTTTATTGGTGAAGAAAGTGAGGTTTTAGCTGTTGATTGTGTTACCGTTTTGGGTCAGAAATTCAGATCAAGTGAAACAATTCTTTATGATTTTAATAGTGATGGTGAACCAAGTTTTGCTCACATTGACCAGATTTTTGTTCATTGCGAAGTTGTGTATTTTTTCACAACAAAGTGGATTGTCCACAAATACTGCAATCTATCTTTATCTTACTGTTGTTTACTAGATAACCAAAAACTATGTATAAGAAAATGTGATATAATAGATTACAAACCTCTTAATGCAGTGCGTTGTTTGAAAATAAATTGCCCATTCATGCACATTATCTTGAATCATCAACTATGTCAAGATAACTTTCTATACCTACCCCACGAAATATCTGGCGATATTGTAAATATTTATTATATGTAACTCAATATTTTATTATAAATTCGGTTGTAAAAATAATCTTTTTATTATAGATATAGTTACATATAGTTATATATATATACATATATATATATATATATATATATATATATATATATATATATATATATATATATATATATATATATATATATATATATATATATATATATATATATATATATATATATATATATATATATATATATATATATATATAATATATATATATATATATATATATATATTTATATATATATATATATATATATATATATATATATATATATATACATATATATATATATATATATATATATATATATATATATATATATATATATATATATATATATATATATATATATATCTTTATATATATATATATATATATATATATATATATCTTTATATATATATATATATATATATATCTTTATATATATATATATATATATATATATATATATATATATATATATATATATATATATATATATATATATATATATATATATATATATATTATTATATATATATATATATATATATATATATATATATATATATATATATATATATATATATATATATATATATATATATATATATATATATATATATATATATATATATATATATTAGGGCTGTTCAGTATGCTAATTTGTTTTCAGAACATAGCTAATTGAAGTTTTTCCCATTCAACTATCATATTGTGTATTGTGGTTCAAAAATATTTTTTACTAAATTTTATTATTTGCCCTAAAGGTCCCTCAAAGCCACTAAACATTTGACAGGTTCCTAATATTATTAAAAAAAAAATTATTTAAAAATATGTCAACTTGGTACTCAAAAAAAGCAAAATTTTATAAAAATTTTAAAAATTAGATTCATTTTTTATAAAAAACAACTTAAAAGAATTTATCATTAAAAACGTTTTGAATATTATCTTTTTTTCATTTTTCGTTTAAAAACCATAGTTTTTATTCAAAAAAACCTAATATTGTATTTTTTTTAAAAAATACTTTTTGTTTTTGAAATTTTTAAATGATTTTGCTTCTTTTGAGTACCAAGTTGACATATTTTTAAATAATTTTTTTTTCTATAATATTAAGGAGCTGTCAAATGTTTAGGGGCTTTGAGGGACCTTCAGGGCAAATAATAAAACTTAGTAAAAAATATTTTTGAACCACAATATGATAGTTGAATGGGAAAAACTTCAATTAGCTATGTTCTGAAAACAAGTTAGCATACTGAACAGCCCTAATATATATATATATATATATATATATATATATATATATATATATATATATATATATATATATATATATATATATATATATATATATATATATATATATATATATATATATATATATATATATATATATATATATATATATATATATATATATATATATATATATATATATATATATATATATATATATATAAAGATATATATAGCCATTTTTAAGAACAATGAAAGTATAGCAATATGTAAGTTTAGATAAATTGAATTGAATTATTTTTTGTGTTTTAGGAACAATCCACATATTTTGTGCAAACAGAGTGTTTACAAACTGATTTCACTGTTGAAAATAATCTTGTTTCACCTAATCAGACTAGTTCTAGTACTAGTTTATCAACTTCCAATCCCTTTTTAGATTCAACACATTCACGTGATAGCGATGTTCTTCATACTCCATATCCAGTACTTAGAATAGACAATATCAAATTTGTAAATTTTTTAACATATATAGCTGTATTGCAAAACTGTAAGGACTGATTTTAATTTCTAAGAATATATTTCAAAAATTTCTACTTTTTTAGGATGTTCGAAAACTGCTTGATGAGCATCAGACAGGTAAACGTGTCGTTGTTGAATATGAGACAACTGGAATGTTAATAAAGTACAGATTTGAAATGGTTCATATCCTTGTTAACATTATGGTAAATAAAGTTGGAAACATGTAAGTTATTACATTAATTTTATATTGATTATAGATTTTACAGTTTGTTCATTTCTGAATATTCAAATGCATAGTTATTAAGTTTTTTAGAACACTTTTTTATAATAATAATATTATATAAAGGCATGAACAGAACATGTAAGTTAATGATTCATGTAACCATGTAGAAAGTCTATTTATTTAACTTACCTATAACATTTGTTAAATATTGTGGTTATTAAATTATTAGGTATTTACTTTAGGTATCCATCAAGAGCAACAAAAACAAATCTTGCTATGTCAATTATTAATGCTTTTCCTAAACTGCACTCTGGTGGACCTCTAGGATATGTTTGTTATTTAACTTTGTTAACTAAAAGTAATTTGTTTGTTTGCTGTTTAAACTGCATTATATTTAATTAAATATTTAGGAAAATTACTATTGCGCTTATAAGGAAGTTGAAGTAAATGGCAAAAAAAAGAAAATAACACCTCATGGACATATCGAGGAGCGGCTGAAAACAATTAGGAAGTTTGATGGTGTCCATGCCCAATCTACACGAAAACGAAAATCCGTTTCTCAAACGACTTTTGATGTTGCAGGTAAGCTAAATGATATTGTAAGTCACGTTTATATATACAACAAATGATGCGTAACTATTTTTTTCAGTTCCTTTTTCAAATGAAGAACGAAACATTATAAGTGAGTTGTCATTTGATGACATTCAGTATGACCGAAAACAATATATTCTTGAAAAAACTAGAGTATCGCGAAGAAACTGGATTCTGTCATCAAAATCACCTTTTCATGAATTTATTCGGAAATTTCCCCCATTTAAAGATTTAGGATTTGATGTAAGCAGTACTGTCTTTTACATTTGTAGTGTATATCCTTATGTCTTGAATTACTGCTGGAATATTGGAGTATTACTATTAATATTATATTATGTTAGTATTAAGTATAATACTGTATTAGTATAATACTGGAGTATTACTAGTGTAAAATTGATTTTCTGTTTGAAAAACATTTCATGACTCTTTATAATCATTATATTAGTTTCAAAGAGAGTTTACAGCAACATTTGAAAATGCTAAAGATTTGCTTACGCAATGGGAGGATATGGCTCCTCATGTTATTACTTGGGCTCGTAGAAAAGAGAATCCGATGGCAAAGCAACTATTTAGAGCTTGACAGCCAGCTAATACCTGCAAATCGTATGTCCCATTGTCTTCTTTAATTACTGTTTTCTTTTTTTTTTAACTTTTATTAACTATTAAAACTATTATACTATTCTAAAATATGTATATGTATTGTTTGAGTTTTTAAATATTTTTTGAAAATCAAAGATCAATATATGGAGTTTGCATTTCACTTGTTTCCATACATTCTTCAAGTGCCTCCTAGAAATAAGGATCGACCGTCTACAGCTGAAGTTGCAGCTCACTTTATTCAAATCTTTCCTGTAAGTTTAATATTTCTAGCTAAATGATATGTGCTATAAACTAGGTCAATAATATAAAATAGGTCAAGGACACCAGCTTGTATATTGTATCTTAATTATTTTTATTTTTATAAAGGAAACTACAGCTATGGAGACGATAATTGATGCAAATAGACATACCTCTTTCATGCATCCATTTGTTATTGCACTAGGGGCTCGAGGCAATTTAATTCAGTCATTTATTTTTATAGAAGACAATGTTATTCCTATTAGAAATGGCATGTTAAGTGCAGTCGACCGTTTGCTGAAACTATATTTTGTAATCGATATTAAATATGCGAAAGAGTGCAAACATGTTTTACATTTTTTGCAATGTGTAGTTATGGGTATTCATGACGATTTGCCGTTGTCAAGAGGAGGCAGTGATCTTTCGTTGTTTGTTAATGAAAAATTAAGGAGTGGATAAACTTTTAAATGTTTTTATTTTAAAGGGTACGAAAATATATTATATCAAGAAAATATCACGTACTTTATAAACAATCATGTTTGTAATTCTGTTGAAACTTATAATATAAATTATAAAATTGTTTAATTGAATAAACATGAGCTTTTTTTTTTTAATTGATATTTGCGTTACTGCAATGAACTTAGGGAGAAAAAAATTTATTTTGATTAAACCAAAATATATTCTTTTACATTTTGATCATATATTGGAAATAATTTTTTTCAAACAAAGAATTCTATATAAATATTTAATCTACCAGAACTTTCTCATTATAGGCTACTTTCTAACATGTTTAATTTTTTTTTGTAAAAACCAGTTTGGGTTCAGATTTTGTACCGCGCCAGTTCAGGTTTTTTTTAAGAACAGTTCAGGTTCAGATGAATTGCCTGAATGTTCGTCTGGCAATTTTTGAAACAAACTAGTTCAGGCGAAACGCCTAAAGTTCGTATAATTTACCGGAACTTTTTCCTGAACTATAGTTCAGGTTATCTAACGCGGTTGTTCAGGTTTTTTTAACGAACAGTTCAGATTCAGGTGAATTACCTGAATGTTCGTCTGGCACTTTTTGAAACAAACTAGTTCAGGCGAAACGCCTGAAAGTTCGTATAATCTACCCGAACTTTTTTAAGAGTGTATATATATATAAATATACTTTTTCAAAACAAGACGTAGAATATTATATATGCTGTATAAAATTATTTTTTACAATTACATTTTTAAATTTACATAAGTTACATATTTATATATCTAAATGTATTATCTATTTTCTATCAAAAAATTGCTATAAACCTTTTTCTCGACATTACTATATAAGATTGGCTCTAGGTCAAAACAAATGAGTTGTTGCTTCTAAGTTTGATCTTTTGTTTTAAGGTAAACTCACGAGTCTTTTAAAACAGCCAGACGTTGTAAACCATTCGAGCCCAGCATTATTACTCTCTGAAAACTATATTTAAAAAAAAAAATACCATTCTACCATACCTAAATGACTATATACAAAATAGCATTTCAAAATCAATAAGTATACATGATTTATTAAAACCTCACTTATCGAATTTTAGATTTTGAATTTTTTCGCAAGAAAAATAATAAATTTACTCCAAGCGTATAATCTTAAGTTAAAGCTAAAATATATCTTTATTAGTCGTTATTAGAGATACGAATATAATTCAATATGAACCACAAAATTACTTTTTTCTCATACACGCAAACAATTGACGGTAATTTAACTTTTCTCTATCTATAGTTGAATATTCTATGCAAGTTTGAAATAAAAAGCTTAGTTTAAAAAGCATATTTCATGTACAACTTTATGAACAACATTTATGAAGAAAGTATTCTGATACAAATTTTAATATTAACAAAAAATGTATAAAATAAACTAGTCAACCTGATATGACAGGTCTACAAATCAATATATATAATTGAATAAATAAATAAAACTTTTTTGAGACTGACTAAAAATAATGCAGGCCTAAAATAAAGAAGAGATATAAAACAATATTTAAGAGGTATAAAAACAACCTATAATGTATGTTTAAATATTTATAACTTTTGATTCAAAAAAGATGATTTTGTAAATAAAAAGTAACAAAGTTTGTTCAACAAAACATTTTGTTATAAAAGGCATCTGCTGAGCACCACTCCAAATATATTTTAAAATATTATTTTGAACTAATTTGATGTTTTAAACAAAATTTTACGAACATTGTCAAATAGAACAAAAATGTTAACATAAGTTAAATAGCAACAAACTTCAATATTTTTTTACTGTTTTTTTTTTTCATACTATATTTTGTTTATGAAATGATTTATACCATATTTTTCTGATAATGTAATATATACATATATATATATATATACATATATATATATATATATATATATATATATATATATATATATATATATATATATATATATATATATATATATATATATATATATATATATGTATATATATATGTATATATATATATATATATATATATATATATATATATATATATATATATATATATATATATATATATATATATATATATATATATATATATTTATATATATATATATATATATATATATATATATATATATATATATATATATATATATATATATATTATATGGTTTGCATATATCTTTAGGAGAATACTCGATGAATTAAAGTAAACTAAAATAAATTAAGTTAAGATAGAGCTGTATTTATATATTTCAACTTTTTTTTTTTTTTCGTTTTTTCATCTATGTTTTTATCTCATCCTTGTCCTTTTTGAGTTTGCATTGTTTGCAAGATTATTTTTTTATTTTAACCAAGTTATATGAGATTGAGCCTTCTAGTCAATATTATACTATTTCAGTCAATATTATATTATATAATATATTTTTTATATATATTAGATAAAATGTATAATATTTACTCGTAAATATATTGCTGTAGTTTTTGTAGTTGTGGTTTATGACTGTTATTAATACTTAATTTAAATCTTAATGACGGACTAAAGAAAAAAATTATGAGTAGTATCATAGCCTCAATTATAGATTTTATTACTTTTAAGTTTAACATTTGCAGTAATATCTTTTAAATTTCCAAAGAAAATATGTATAGTTTAATATTTACATAATTTATACGAATATTATATAAAGTTTATAAACATATTATTAATTTATAAATACAGTTTCAATAGTTGCTTTTTTAGATTAATTATTATGTCCGACTTGGTGGCTCTAATTGTAAAGATGCAATTCGACGCATTATTACTGCAGCAACTAATCAAGTTTGACCATATTTTAGTTTCAACGGCTGAAAAGGAAAAAAGTCATTTGATAGAGGTTTACTCTGCCAAGTAATTATTAGAAAGTTTTTAAAAAGATTTTTATATGGCATGTTACAAATAAATTTTATATACATATTGTATAAAATTTATAAACATATTATTTTGTAAACCTGACTACTATTTATACTTGTCAACTAATCGACTGTTTACAAGGTGGCTCTGACAAATAATAGTCATGTTTATATATAGGTACACTACTTCTTTACTTAAAAAAGTTACACCTGTTTTGTTTATACATTTTTATTTATTTTTATTTATTTTAGATTTGTTAAACACCCACTATACAAGTAAGGTAAATTAAGAGTTTCATACAAGATAAATATAAAAAATCTTGGAAATTTTTTTTTTTTTTTTTTTTTTTTTTTTTTTCAACGTGATTATTTTTTTCAAGAATGTCCTTGAAGATAGTTCTCTGCTCTTTTAAGTTCCAGTACTCAACTGCACATTTTAGAGATTGAGGATCCGTTTCAGGAATTGATTTTTTGAGGCCGACAATTTTTATTTTTTTTTTACTTTCCATTATTGTCTCCAGATTTAGTTCATGATAATTGCACAACCCTTTGATACTATCTAAATTTATGTTATAATATTAGTTGTTTTAAAAGAAATCACTAGTTATATAGTATTCTTTTATATTATATGTTCATATAATAGTTACAATGAATCGTCAGGTATACAGATGAAAGTGAATGGCAGCAACATGCGGAAAATGCAGCTGTTTTTGTGTCAGCTGCTGCAGATGTTATTGACCCACCATCTGCATCCGTAAGTTAGGTGAATCCGGCAAATATTTCATCAACTGGCAGCATGCATATTGAAAATGGTTAGTAGAAGTTACAATACTTTAGTTGATAGTTTTTGTAACAATGAAAAAAAACTACAAGAACAAAAGTATTACTGTTTTTTACAAGAAACTTAAAATAATTTAATACTTATTAGGTTTAAATACAAGTTTTGTGGCCCAAACCTGCTAGACAGCAAAATGTTGAGTTGAAATCAACTTCATAAAGTTCGTTTGCACTTTTTTACAGAATGAGATCCCACAACAAATAATTTTGCTCCAAAAATGAAATTTATTTCAGCAAATTTTTTAAATTGAGATTTCTCTTTCTGTAAAAAAGTGTGTAGCTACTTTATAGACAACCCCTTAATAAAAATTGTAATTTGTTGTACTTATATAACTTACTTTCAAGATTTATTCATAATGTTAAAAAGTTAAATATATACTTTTTTTTTTAATTTGTGATATATGAAATGCTTAATTATCATTAAAAACAATCGTGAACCATATACCTATTAATGGCAATTAGTTACGCAGTTAACATTTTGAATACTTTTATTAACTATTGTGAATATATGATTTTAAACTTTAATTAGATGCTTGTAAAAAGATCATCATGGGTGCAAACAGGTAAAGGAAAAAGTTAGAGGTGTTGAAGCAAGCTCCTAATCGACCAGGTGGAGTTAACTAAGAGGTACATTAATTTTTTTTTGCTACCTATAAAGTTTATTCTTTGATACATCTAAGTAAATTTTTACTAGTAATGCATATCATAGTGTTAATCATTTAGTCTTTATAATAAAAACATGTTTTTGTATTTATTTAGACAAAACTTTAGCAAATGTTCAAAATAAAGATGTGTTATAGCAACATTTTGAAGGAAGTTCTTACAGTACGGGCTAGCATATGTTGTGTTATATGTTATATGACCAGATCAAAAAGTTTTTTTTTAATTGTTAAGTGGCTAGATGTTTAAATATTGTTAATTGACAACTAGGATGATGTGGTAAGCCTAAAAATAATTCCTTCAAATTTCAAAGCATTATTCCTATGTTAGGTAACAGCTTAATTAACTTAACATTTCAAGAATGTCCTTATATTAAAAAAAAAAGTTCTTTTTATAGTAGGTCAACCTGGTACTCAAAATAATATAGCAAAAATAATATATAAATTTCAACAATAATATTCGTTTTAAAAAATGTATATATAAATTAACTTTTTATGCAAAACTTCTAAAAATGCACTTTTTTTTTTGGGTAAAAAACTATAGTTTGTATTTAATTAAATTTAAAAGAATATCTGTGCTATTAAATGATTATTTAATTGAAATTTTATACAATATCACTACTTTGAAGATTTAACATGATACTTTTGAATTATTTTTTTTTTTCAAAATAATATGGACCCGTTAAAAAAGAAAGTTAATTATGCTGTCCCTAAAACACATTGTTGTGAACTAATGTTATTCTTTGTGTATAAATAATTCATAAATAAAACT